CCGCGGCCGCTATTCGCCCGCGGGAGTTATTAACCAAACAAAATGAAAAAGCCGTTTCAAAAAGAAAACAAAAGCAAAAAGAAATAAAACCCCTTCCTGTCCGCGCCCGTACTTCGGGGCTTCCGCGGGATTTTTCCCCAGGGATACGGCAAGCCGTGCGGTACGGATCTGAGCTTATCACATCCCCCCTCAGCCCCTCCGTTAGACGACAGACTGCGAGAAAATCGCAGAATGGATGATGCAAAATCTGAAAGCCCGATACCGACGTCCCAGGGACGACTTCTGGGACAACACTTACAGGGAGCTTGTCCCCCTTCTGGACAGCAGCACCAGTCTGCGAACAGTTCTCTTACAAGGCCCGCCTACCTTCTTCCCCCGAATACAACGTACGTTCATTATAGCTGTATTTGTACGGTCATTATAGCTGTATCTCGACTGAAAGATGCCTCAAATACAGCTCTAATGAACGTACATTGTATTCGGGGGAAGAAGGTAGTGGTTCGTGCTGGTTAGAATTCCTATGCCAACGGTGCTTGGCAATTGTGTACCTGGTCCAGCGTTTACAGTTTGGAGCCCCCAAAGACAACCAGGCCGTCAATTGTGTACCTGGTCCAGTCTTTGGGGGCTCCGAACTGAAAACGCTGGACCCCGAAAGCCCTCCAGAATCTACCAGAATCTGCCAACGGGCCAGAAAAGGCCTGGTCGAGGGGAGCATCTGTGATGATAGCAGCCCATATCCAATGGCCGCGCAAAACAAAATTGATATATTCTCATATTGTACAACTCGGACCGAAGACTTCAACTCGGACCAAATCCTACCGTTCCAAAGGGTGGGAGTTGGGGAATGGGGGGTCATTTTGCCTAAAACACAGTGCGGCTCATACAGATGGGATATGGTTTAGCTTCATGAGTATAAAAGGAAATAGTGTTGATCAGACTGGGGCTACAACCACCCGAATACAGCTGTCCTGCGGGCAAATGGCTTAGGACGCAGAGTAGGTGTGTGGTGGCCTTATTCACGGTTTGTCTCCGTCATGGATGGTCCATCCAGCTACTGCTGACATTATCAAGGGTCTGTTTAAATAAGGAAACATGATGTTCAGGGACGCTGGACCCGGTTTCCAGCAGGTGCAGCTCCCCACCAATAGATGGAGCCTCCCTGGAAGTGGTAGCGGTGTCTGCTCTTATCAGCACCTCTACCACCGCCTCGGGTGTTTTTTCCAAAAAAAAAAAAAAAAAAAAAAAAAAAAAAGGGTGCACAAACGAGGCCACCAACAAAAGGGTGCCGAATCTACCAGTGATGAGCTAAAAGAACAAAACCTTTTTTTTTCTAAAGCCCTTGTGTAAGCCCTCTATCCCGGCGGTGGTAAGAGAACCGTCAGAATTGAGGGCTTATCTGTCGGGCTGCAGATGAACTCAGGAAAAAGCTACAACCCCCGCGGTTACTGGGCAGGCAGGGCAGCAGCAAGCACCAGTGGTCCCCACAGGTAATAGGACACTGCAAGTAGAAGGAACAGGGGAGAGCATGACCACCTGACGGACCCCAATGGGAATCTACAGCAACCCGACCCGCCGGACGTGATGAAAGAAGGGCTGGTTAAACCACCAGTACTTGGCCCAGCTATCGGCCGCGGCGCTTTCCCGTTAACGCGCCGCGCCTTTAGGGCTTCGGGGTACCGGACCTCAATGGCTGGAAGCGCCAGCCAAAACAATTTCGAAATGGTACCCCGGTGCTTCGGCGAAATCGGCGCGCAGGGCCATTCCAGGCTCGGCATCGATAGCTGCGCCAAGTACTGGTGGTTTAACAGATGTCAAAAAATGAGGCAACTTTTAGAAACAGGGAAACAGGCCCAACCCTTGTCTAAGAAGGGCGTACTACTAATCTTGCCGGTGCATCAGAAAGACGGACATTGGGAACTGGGAGTATCTGAAATCCCCCAAAGCAAGTATGGAGAAGTCACCATACAGGGATGGGTTCCTCAATTCTCATCAGATTACTGAAGCCCATCAGGGGAAAGACTTTTGGAAGCAGAAATGAGAAAGATGTATACCGAACAACTATCGTCCAGGAGCACAGGTTGTAATGCACATAAAGCAAGGACCGACCAACATAGCAAAGAGAGACATCCTTGTCCTATATGACCCCACCAAGGACAACAGTCTGCGATAGCTCTCTCACCATATGCTACTAGACCTGCAAATGCTAAAAATCAAACCCAGCACGACATGGTCTGCGGATGACATCTGCACCAGCCTCAGCATGATTCTGAGAAACAACATGCTGGGAGAAGACACGCAGTCGTTAATGAAGAAGTGGGAGAGAACAGGCTGCATGCTCCAGATGGACGGGTGGTCGGACCAGAGAAACAAACCGCATCTGAGCACCATGTTTCTTCCCCGGCCGGCACAGTATTTTGGAAATCCGTCTGCATGGTGGAGGCCGACAAAGTTCTCTCCCAAAATAGCACCCGCGAGCGCAGCGTTGCTGGCTCAGCAGCTGACGCACGTGTGCGTGAGTGGGTGCGATGTGTGTCTTTGCACACGTACGTGTGTGTGAGTGCACGAGGGCGCGCGCAATTTCGTGCCTGATTGCATGTTGTTGTGCATGTGTGTGTGAGCGATCGTGCGTGCACGTGCCAGAAGACAAGTGTCATTGTGTCTTTCCGCGTGCGTGTAAGTGTCAGTGCATGCGAATGGCGGCGAGCGAACGGGCGGCATGACTTCTTCAAGATTTAATGGTCGAGGGATGGGTGACGGCGATCAGTGGGTAGAGCTTCCTCACTCACGGTTCCTTGACTTTTGAAAGCACAATCGTGCCATCTCGCTTCTTCACGCTTCATATGAGTGATGCTGCAGGCTAACATGTCGTATGAAGGGGAGTTCTGCTTTAATCGAGCATTGCTTCAAGGGTAATCACTTCCACACTTCATATTGCGAATTTTGTGGTGGAGGAGGTCAGCTTGTCGCAAGAAGGAGAAGAGTAGAGTGTGTCCGAGGGGATGGGAGGAGGATTGTCGGGGGATAGTGAGTGGTAGGTGTTCGAGAATGGAGTCCAAGAAACATCAACCTTCATCATGGGAGACTTCAACTCGAGCCTTAGTCGCCAGTTGTTTGTTGCCCTGTCTACTCCATCCAAGCTGCATCTACAGTGGAATATCATCAGTATTCCCGTCAACAAGCTATATCATCATCTTCATTATTAGCAACCATCATCACTATCATCTTGAAGTTCATCGTCGTTCATCATCTGCATTGTCTTCTTCATCAGGGTGAGCAGGTAAGAAAAAGAGTGGGTCGTTTCCGGTTTCCTACCAAATATTTCTTCTCCATCTCCACATCCTTCACTCCATACTCGACACCATTCCTTATACTCTGTCTCTATTTCATTTTAGCATCATTTTCCTCTTCCCCCTAACTTATCATCTCTTGTATACTCTCCTTACCGCTGCAATAATCGATAGTTGTTGTAATCCGTTGGATTCACTTTCACAAAAATGGGCAGGTGTTATCTTAATGGATGAAGTGGTGAGGGTGAGTACGTGGGACAGGGCGGAGACCGGAAGGGAATAAAGAGTGAGAAGAGAGGGAGTGGAGGGAGGTCTGGAACCGAAGGTGGAGAAGGGAGATGGGGGGGAGGAGGGGGAAATTTTATTTTTTGTAGTATTTACAGTTTTAAGTTTATCATCTTCTTCATCATCCTTTTAAACTAATTAATCAACATCAATATCGACATCCTTATAACCAATCCACTCTTTCAACTAAAATAATATCCTAATTAAATATCCAACTTAAAATTTAAAATTTCTAAATAATATTCCCAAATATTCCAGAATCGTCGTAACTCTTAACTCCTAGAACTAAGCTGATTGGTATTTTTTAATACCTAAATTCCTATTTCGAATTTTTGAATCTTCAATCTGCGTTTTCACTTTCAATGTTTTTATTTCGCTGCATTTGCTTCCATGAGCTGTGACTCTAATCCAATTTTTTTTGCAGAAACCTGATATTCAATTTTTTCCCAGCATAAATTTATTTGGTTCGAATGCCTATTCTTGGTATCTATGTTCTCCTCTTTGAGCATCATTTTTTTTTTCCCCCCTGATGGATGAAAGGTGGAGTGAACAGGGGAGAGTTTCACTCTGCAGGGGCGACGCATTGTGGGAGGTAAAGCCCCAAAAGGTGTGCGAGCAGATTTAGTGGGTTACTCTATTGTATGGTTGGGGTGGGGGTACACATCCCAACGGGGGCAAATTAGGGTAAAAGGTGGGCAGAGGCATACTTTGGCGGGGGACTGTATGCCTTTGTGGGATAAGGGGGGGGAATGTGGGACTGTCCCAGGTTGGGGCTGAGATGGGATGCTTGCAATCTGGGTAATCCATTTCGGTGGAGGAAGCGTTGGGATAGGGTGGGAAGGAGGGGAGGGGAGAGATTAATCTTCAGAGATGGTAAAATTTGGATTGATATCTGCAGAGTTGCTTTGTTCTGTGCCTGTGGTTTGCCGATGCCAGAACGACGCTGGTCGGAGCTGGGGTGTTGCCCTGTAACCTGCAAATGGCAGGAGTGTGAGGCCTTGTAGAGAGATCTACGGATTTGGTGAGGGAGGAAGGCAATCCAGTACTGGGGGGGTTTCGTAGACAACCTATGGGTTTAGGGATAATATAGGTGGTGAGAACATGTGAGCTATGGTTGACGTTGGTTAGGATGGCATTGTCTCTAAGATGTAATGTCCAGGTACAAGGAGAGCTAAGAGTTGTTCTTGGATTAGGAGGCCATAAGTGTTGATATAGCATAGTCTTCTATATTTTTTTCATACTAGTCATCATCATCATCATTATCTCACAGTTAATATAGAATCAGCAGAAGTTCATCATCATCATCATCATCATCATCATCATCATTACCACCACCACCACCATCATCATCATCATCATCATCATCATTATATGAGGGACACTTAGCCCGGTTCTCAGCATGTTCGGTTCGGTCACTCCGGGTAGACTGTGAGGACCCTGGCCTCGATCTTCTTATTGATAATATCAGCCTTGGGCACTGGGCCCGTTTATTAATAAAAAATAAAAAAAGGGGGGGAGAAGGATTTTATGGCGTACTTCAAGATGTTGGACAGGGTGATTGAGGAGATAGGTGTGCAGTCCATCGTCGGTGTTGTGATGGACAACGCGAGGGTTTACGTTAAAGCGGGGAAGACGGTGGAGGCCACGTACCCCGGGATCTTCAGTGTGGGTTGCACAACCCATGCCTTGGATTCGGCTTTGGAAGACATGTACAAGTGCATGGGTTCAAGTTGGCTGAAAACTGTCGTCGACAAGGGCAATCAAGTCGACAAGTTCTTCACCAACGTTGGCAAGGTCCGTGCAATGTTCAACAAGATTGTGGATACGCAACTGAAAGGTCCGGCGGTCACCAGATTTGCAACGAACTTTGAGATGTTGAAGTCCCTCAAGACATGGAAGAATCCACTGGAGCATTGTGTTTGCAACGCGGCGTGGGTGCACAAGTTGGTGAGGCAGGAGCAGGTGGCAACATTCAATGTCGTCACCCACATCACCGTGGACCAGAATGGATTCTGGAAGGATGTGGAAAAGGTCATGGTGGTGATGGAGCGTATTGTCAAGCTCCTTCGTTTGGTGGACGGTCCCGGAGCAACGATCGGCAAAGTCTACTTTGGCATGAACGTGGTTGTGGCTACTATGCGCTCCCTCGAGTGTTTGTCGGATGCTGAGAAGGTGGACGTAGAGAATATTTTGATGGACCGGTGGACCTTCATGACTTCATAGCTGCATTGCGCAACGTCATTTCTCGATCTAGAGTAAAGGTTGGATGTAGTGCGGGACACAAAAATTCACAATGGCTTCAACGTTTGGTTTTATTCTTGGGCGCCACCGGAGCTGCTGGTGGGAAAAATCAGCAGACAAGTGGACATGTGAGTGCAGGGAGTGGGCACGTTGGGGACAAAGAACACAAGAGAGCAGGGGAGATTGCAGACTCCGGCGCTATGGTGGGAGGCATTCGGGGGGTTCTTGAACCTCCTCCAACCGCAGTCGATCAAGCTTCTTGCCCAAGCGAGCTCTTCGGCTGCGTGCGAACGAGACTGGAGTTTGCACTAGCTCATTACGGACAATGATACACAATTTTTTTGTCGGAGAAACTCAGTAAGCCAGTGTACAACAATTGGAATATCCAATTATCGACGCGGAGAGAGCACGGGGATGTGGGGGGCATCCACATCTGTGGAAGAACGATGAGCTGGCGAAAAAGGAAGTGGAAAAGTGGTACGAGATATGGGTTGCGCGGGTTAGTGAAGGGTCAACTGCTGAAGTGGCTGCTGCAGAGGTCTACGACGACGAAGATGATAATGCTCCGCTGACCTGCACATGGTTGAAGAATAGCGAGGAGGACAACTTTGCGGATGATGAGGAGGACATTGTCATGCTTGGTGCGCTGCAAAGAACATGGCACGCAAACACAAAGCCGGGAAGCACCGAGTAAAAACGTTGCGCAGAAAGTCTGGTCTCCAAGACGCCGAACCTGGGTCGTGTATACCTTGGAGGGTCGTGACCGTGCCATGAAGGCACATCAAACTGGCGATTGGGTGCAGGGGCGGGAGACGTCGTCGGGGCGCGGGTGATGCAAGAGGAAGGCAGCAGCAGCGGATGTTGGTGAAAGACTACCGGCAGATGAGGGAAATAGGAAGGTTGGGGAGGAGGAAGTTGTTCCACAAAAGACGAAGAGAGGGCGCCCTCCTTTTTTGCCCGCGAAAAAGGCTGCAAAAGCAGCAACGCATGCAAATGCAAGAAAGGTTGCAGCAGCCAAGGCAGCAAGAGCATTAATGTGGGCGATATGGAATATAAGGTGCACGTACGAAATGGAAGGAGCACGTTTGGATGGGTCGGAATTCAGTGAATTTATTATACAGCAAGTACAAAGAATAATCATCTCTAACTGGGAAAAGGCCAAGGAAAATATTACAAATCTTTCAGCCAAATCTGATATTTTGTACAATATTCACAACTTCAACAAATGCTGGCCTGGAGGGAACCAAGGGGGGAAATTGGGTAAGGTGAAATGGGAGGGAGGACAGGGTGGGGCCCAAGAAGCGTTGGAAAGGAATTATCGTTTAATTTTCAACAACTGGTCTGAGGTTGATCCCCCTATTCCCCTAAAACCACTTTTAGAGTTCCCAGATCCCTTTCCGCCTTCCAAACTCAGTATGGTACCCAAGACTTGGTATGGGTATGGATGAGATAGCAGTGAGATATAAGGGTTTCAAAGGGATCAGGAGTCGAGAAGCCATGGCAATAGTGCTAAAGATGTACGTTGATTTGGCGCCTGGTTTAAGGTGAAGAGGCACTTGAGGAGTTACGGTCCTCAGCACGAGGTGTTTTCAATCTGTAATGTATCTCAGGGGATGCTGGACCCGCTTTCCAGCAGGTGTAGCTCCCCACCAATAGACTGGATGTAAGATAGGTAGGAGTGTATGTTCTTACCAACCAAAAAAAAAAAAAAAAAAAAAAACAACTGCAAAGAGGAGAACGACAAAGGTGATAGAAGACGACGAGAACTTGGATAATCCGCGTCGTAAGCAGAAAAAAAAAACCTTCTTCATTGGCATCATCGTCATCGGAGGATAGTGTGCCTCAAGATAGTGAGGAGGAGGAAAAATTGTCCAAGCAATCGGATGACAATGGAGAGTCAGACGGGGATGAGTCGGAGGGGGACTCATCACAGGCGGAGTCTTTTAGGGAGTCAGACTCGGGGGAGTTGGGCGAGTAACTTGTAGACGCAGGCCGCGTAACCCGTAGGTTTCGCTGCTTTTGGTGGCCAAGACTTCACTTTTATGAACACAATTTGTGCTTGATGACAAGTTTTTGAAACCCGAAGAGTCGAAGACTGCCAAGATCCGGGCAGCAGATTCTAGGAGGGGCATAGCTGTCGGCCCGGCAGTGCACCGGCTGAGCGTGTTGCCTCACCGACAATTGCTCCCGCACAGCTGCTGCTTCCAGCAGTCCCCCTAAGAGGGAGCCCACGACAATGATCCATCTCCCTCTTACAAGAAGACATGGACTGCCCAAAACGCAAGGGGGAAGTCAAGGAAAGAATTGAGAGGTCGGATGTGGGAACAAACTGGTGCCTTGAGATACTACACTAATGCAACCTTGCAGTGTGCAAAGCTGACTGTGTCTGCCATCGATCGTAAGTTGGCTGCTGCTGCTGCTTTCCAGCGAGATTGTGCCCAGTTGATTGCTGAAAAGATGGAATATGGTTGGAAAGTCATTGCACGAGTCCCAGTTGGCCCGCATAAAGTTTGTCGATTCCTGGAGCAGGCAAGCCCCGGAGCAGGGCCCAGAGCACGACCACCACGAGTTGTTCCCAGGACACAAAGGAGTTTGACAACTCCCAATTCTGGTGTCGTTGGCTGGCGGCGAGCATGCCATGTTCCAACTGTTTTTTTTTTTTTTTTTTTTACCTTTTTATAATTGTCTGGATGTTGTGTATGGTTCGTCCTTTGCAGCGCCTTTTGTAGTGGTTTCAACTTAAGGATTTAGAGCAGAGGCTTCCTGTGTGTGCTTTCGTGCACCACCAATTGTTGTTGTTCATGTTGTTCGGACCCGTGGGAGTCAGTTTTTCCATTAGTAATATGTAAAAGCAAGAGTAATACACAAGTTATCGGTCTCTTCCAATAGGGTTGCAAATATATATATATATATATATATATATATATATATATATATATATATATATATATATTCTTTCTTTTTTCTTTTGCTTTACTTTTCCCCATTGTTGGGGTATTTTGTTTTACGGACCTACTGTATGGTTCCGTTTTTTCAGGTGTTGGTTATGGTAGAATTGTTGGTACTTTTTGTCTGCATCCTGATTGGTTTTGTCTCGTTGTTCGGTCCACATGGCGGTGTTTTCATGTGGGTTGTTTAGTCCATGTGGCGGTGGTTTCATGTGGGACTTGTCATCTGGATTTTTCCTTTTGGCATCCTAGTTGACTGGTTCCCGTTGTTTGGCCTATCGACGGGGGCGGTGCTTTTAGGTGAGAACTGTCATCTGGGATTGTTTTTATTTATTTTATTTGTAGGCAATGGTGTTGATTGCTATCCTGGTTGGTCATTGTCCCGTTGTTTGGCCTGTGACATAGGGGGTGATGCTTGCATGTGGGACTTGTCATTTAGGATCTGTTATATTTGTTTTTTGGCACCCTTGCTATGTAACCGGGTGAACGCGTTGAACGCGCGTTCACGTTCAAACGCGCCTTCATACCCCTGAGGGTCGTGTTCATTCGCGTTCAAACGCGCTGCGCGCCACGTGGCGCGAAAAAACTGAATGCGACCTCGGGGGGCGCACGCGCGCATTACGGACTATGAGGTGGTGGACCTCGTTCTAAGAACCCCAAAACTGCAAAAAAAAAAAAAAAAACAGAGCCCTACCCCCCCCTACCGCATCACCCCCGCCATGTGTGAAAATTCTTTTTTTTTTGGGGGGGGGGGAGTGGGTGGGGGAATCCCCCTAACACAGCTCAGATAGCCCATGCAGGCTATCTGAAGGGTCCGCGCAGACATGTAGCGCAGACATGTAGCGCAGACCCCCCCACCAAAATCGAGGCAGGCAGTGAATATGAAATAGAGCACGAGCTGGCCCAATATATACTCAAGATTCGAATTCAGGTCTGTGTTTCAGCAGTTATGGGTTGCTCACGTAGCTAGGGACTCTTAGGGCTTGGTTGCATTACTCAGTGTGTGCTAAGTTAGAATGAATCTTCTGCAGAACGTGGAATAATACGCCATCGTTTTATTTTTTTATTTTTTATTTTTTTATTATTTTTTTTTTTTCTTGTTGTCCTTTTTTTCTCGTTTGTTTTTTCTTAGGAATGCGTGCAGTAGCCCTAAGGGCCTTTACTAAGTTAGAATGAATCGTCTGCAGAACGTGGAATAATACGCCACCATATGTTTTGTCTTTTCTTGTTTTTCTTTTTTCTTAATTTTCATTTTTCTTGTTGTTCTTTAGCACCCTTGTCTGCATCCCTGTTGGTTTTGTCCTGTTGTTCGGTCTATTTTGGTGAGCGTAGCGGTGCTTTCATGTGGGACTTGTCATCCATTTTTTTTTTTTTTTTTCGGCCTATGAGAGCATGAATGGTTTAGGAATGGGAATACCCACATCTTGATGACGAATAAGGTCATCTGTTGTACATAGTTTTTCTTGCAGACAAGAGTTTTGTCCTGGGTGGTCATGTCCCGTCGATTGGTCTGTGAGGGGCGGTGCTTGCATGTGGGACTTGTGATCTAGGATCCGTTCTTGGTGATGTTGCTTGTTGCCCCCTGTTTTGTTGTATTTGGTTGTTCCCTTCCTCTTTTCTTTGCCTTTTTGCCTTGTGGATCGATATGACACACGGGGGTGGGGCCAACCGCCGCTCAACCTACATCCACGTGGGCCTTGTACGCAAAAGATTCTGAACAGAGGGAATTGTAAGCAAGAAGATAAAAAACAAATTGATATTTTTTTTGTTTCCTGTTGTTTTCCTCGCTTTTGCACACTGATAACTTTGTGACAATATATATACATATAGACAGATAGATAGATAGAGAGAGAGAGAGAGATGGATAAATGGATAAATAGATATATATATATATATATATAGAGAGAGAGAGAGAGAGAGAGAGGGTCTGTCAATCAAACTTATGTTATCATACCGTTAGGACAGTGTATAATATTTGTAGGGTCGTGTACCATAGTTGTGACATCGTTTAAGGCCGTGAACCATAGTTGTAAGGCCGTGTTCCATAGCTACAAGGTCGTGTTCCATGGCCGCATGGTCGTGTTC